CCTTCACCGCCGGCAAACCCTCGGAGAGGACTGCGCTCTCTCCTCTCTGTGTGCCGAGATACGGATGTACGGGGGGAATGTACGCGCTCGTTTGTTGATCGACATCTGGTCTTGGGGAGCAACACAACATACATGCTGCAAACCCCCACGCCCACCTTGAGGGTGCAGCGCGTGTTTGCTCACCTTTGTTTCCACGGGGATGCAGCGCCTGGTGCCTCTCCCGCCAAGCTCGAACTCGTCCGTCGTGAATCCAGGCCAGTTCCCCGCCTTCACTTCGTCTACAAGGGAGAGGAAGAAAGGGTAGGGTACGCGGAACCTTCGCCGAAACTGCTTTGCCTCTCTCGTCGAAGGGTCCTGCAATAGGTCGGCCTTCTCAAGCATCCTTGCCCAAGGCAAGGTGCGGTAGTCCGCTCTCGGCCGAACCGTGCGGCGGCGCTTGGGTCGCGGTTCTTCGTCGTCCTCTTCATCTTCCTCCCGGTACAATTGTCGCAGCAACGCGACCAGAAGCTGCTGTTGATGATGCAGCGCGGCAAGCGCCAACGAGAGCACGGTCAACACCGCCCTTAACTCTACGAGGCGCACCATCGCCAGCAGCACGTCTGCGCGTGCGGTGCGATCACCCAAGGCTCTCGATTCAAAACGCGGCGGCCATACGCCCACTTTTTCACGAACCCCCCGGGATTCCTGCTAGGAATTTGTGGTCGCCCGAATTGGAATCCGGCCCGGATTCCAACTCGACTTGGCTGGAATTCCTCGAATTGGAATTTTTCGGGATTCCAACGTCCCCATAATTTAGGTTTTTTTCCCCATTCATTCCTGGAATTCCCGGGGGTTCGCGGAAAATAGTGTCAAGGGGTCCCACCAAATTTTCCCCGGATTCCTGTTCCATAACAATTGGTCATAGGACCATGCCATAAAATTTCGGACCTTAGGGGGTACGTGGTGAGAAATCACGGAACCCCCCCCCCAAATATTGAGCTTTAGCGCGGAACCCGCCCTACNATTCCTGGAATTCCCGGGGGTTCGCGGAAAATAGTGTCAAGGGGTCCCACCAAATTTTCCCCGGATTCCTGTTCCATAACAATTGGTCATAGGACCATGCCATAAAATTTCGGACCTTAGGGGGTACGTGGTGAGAAATCACGGAACCCCCCCCCCAAATATTGAGCTTTAGCGCGGAACCCGCCCTACGCAAAACCTTGCCGAGGCAGCGAGGGGAACAAAGGGTACCAGGCACGGGAAGATGCCCGCGGCAAGCCCGGGAAGCAGCGCACTAACGGCAATCGCCACAAATGAATGCGTGACACATAACGGACAATAAAACCAACGGGAGCGCAAACAGACGCATACACCAATAATAACACGCACACACAAAAACACCAACCACCACCACCACGCATCTGCCGAGCATGGAAGTGCTACCGCCGGAACAGCACTTCGATGTACGACAGGAAACGGGCCAACCGCCAGCTCAAGATCCGACTACTCCAGGCTGAAGTGGTGCAGACCCTCCTATACGGGTGCGCCTCGTGGAGCCTGGCAGCGGAGCACTACACCAAGCTGAATGGGACCCACCGCCAGTTCCTGACACGGTGTATCGGCTGGAGCAAGCGGAAGCGCTCAGACCGACCCCTGTCCTACGCCCAGGCCCTCATCCAGGCCGGCTGCGAGGAAACCATCGAGGCCACCGTGCGCAAACGGAGGCTGTGTTTTGCGGGCTTCGTTATGCGCATGGAGGACAACCGCCTCCCCAAGCGCATGCTGCTGGGAGCGATGGCGGGGGGTACCGGATACCGGGGCGGGCAGGAGAGCGACTGGGTGTATCGCCTAGGAGAGGACCTCGTGGCGTTTGGCATGAAAGAGGAGAAGGAGGGGGGGAGATGGAAAGAGAGCGCCAAGGACCAGGAGGCGTGGTACGACAAGATCGAGGACGGGGCGGCATGGTTCATGAGGAAATGGCACAGACAGGAGGCGGAAGCATCCGCGAAGCGCCAGCGCCAGCGCGCGGAGGAAGCAGAGACGGAGAGCACGGCCGCCCCGGGCCCGAAGAGAAAGAGAATCGGGGAAGCGGCGGGGGGGGGGAAGAAACGGCGACCGGACACTGCTGTAGAAGCGAGTAGGGCGGCCAAGGCCGCGCTTGCGGCGAACGACGTACCCAACTGATGATGTTGTCGCACCCTGTGTTCCCTTTTCCCTGCCGTAAGCTGTATGCTCTTAGTATTGCCTCCGGCCTCTCTTTGTGCTTTTCTTCTTTCTTTCTTTCTTGTTCTCCATGCCCTCTCTACGATGATCTTGGACGATACCTCGAGCTCCTTGTTATTTTTGTTTTTTCCTTTGCTGGCTGCCTGCCACCTCTGCTGCCTCTTTGGTGCGGTGCCTACCCTACACTAATGCGCTGGTGCATACTGCACTGCTGTAGTACCTGGTACTGGTGTACGTTGTCCTTCGATTTTTTATTTTTTTTGTGGCACTATATATGTGTTTGTTTTTCGCCCCCCGTCTTGCTGCACCCCCTGGGGTGTGGTGCAGGGCGGGGGATGCCTGGTCGGCGGGAACCCGGCACGGAACCCTCCGGCGTTGTAGGCGGGTGTGGGAAGCGTTCCCCGTTCTCCTTTTATTTTATTTTGATCGGTCTCCTCGACGCTCTTTCTCGTTTGGTGCGGTAGCTGGTCTTTCTTTCTATCATTTTGTTTCTCTTCCGAGTGGTTTTTGTACCCTATTTTTTCCTGTTTCTTCGTGGGGTCGTGTATGCCGGGTTTTGAGACCACGGGCTCCCAATCTTTTTTTTTAGAGCTAATGTGAGAAACAACAACAACAACAAACAAACTACAGGGAACAGGCGCACGGAGGCATTTCGGGCATCGCGCAACCGGCAAGACAGCAGTGGCTTGCGGAGTGTTTCCAACCTGCAACACCACATGATATGGCGTACATGTGTAGCACGGCCTACGTAGAACGCAGCCAACTCTGCATAACGGCGAGAGGGAACCTTCTATTCTACGTGCACACAAACCACTCGATCGGGAGCCCGTTGCCGATGTGCGTAAACTTTTGGGTGGTGTGCTGTCTGGCCCAATTTGAACAGTCGCGCGTACCACGACACATGATACACAGCAGCGCCCTCCACACGACCAGGCAGGTGGTGTGCTCCCCACTGTGCGAACTCAGCCACAATTTTCAGTGCCGACTATCACAATCAAGCGCGGACGTATGCGTATCCAGCGGAACTCTTCTTCTCGCAGAGGGGCAGAGACAAGGAGCGCTGTCCGCGGGGTCCTCGGTCCGCGAGCGTGGTGCGCGGCGAGACTCGCGCTGCGGCGTGATTTCCATGGCGATCCAACGATCCAAGGCCACCTCGGTCATGCCCCAAAAGCTAGTTACCAGTAGCCTTGTATGCTTGATTAATGGGAAGTATCAGTAGCCACATACCTGATCCACGCAGCCTTGGAGTTCTTGACAGTCGATCTCTGCCTCCTAGCTGAGCTTTTCACCTCTCCGTCAAGCCTCTGGCCACGGTCTGCAGCCCAGTTAATAGGGCCTCTGGAGGAGGCGTGTTTGTATATGAGATCTGCGCGCCAGCGGCCCATAAAAAAAAATGAAACCTAAACCCAGTAACAACACTGACAGAACCCGCATCAATCACCTCACGCGATCCCCTTCCATCTCCGCTTCTATTCACAGCGAGTTGCTCGCCTTGGAGGTACGGACGGCGTCATGTTTTGTGAGAGCATGCAGAGTTGGGAAGGGCACGGTTTACGATCATGATTGTCTAATCAGTGGGGTCGTCTGGTGGCACGGTGTGTGCTGCTGCGCGTCACTGCTGTGTCAGGGTGCAGGGTGCGCAGAAGTGCTGTTTGTCTCTCACGGTACCTCACCCAAGTGCATCTGACGTACAGCAGCAGAGAAGAGTTGACTGTGCTCGTGCGGGGTTGATGAATGTTGCAGTTGCGGCTGCAGTTGCGGCTGCAGCAAGTGGGCGTGGGTACGGGGAACGGGGATGCGTGTTGGAATGGCGGAGAATCATCCCCAAAACCATTTGGAGCTCTGTCTTCTCTGTTCTATCCTCTCTGGTGCTGCTGTCTGTAGAACATCGCACTGCGCAGAGGTTGGCCATGGCCTGGCCATTGTAGCCAAACCGCTCAGAGACAGCAAAGCAGAGCAGTTTGCTGTACCTCCCTCTCACTTTCTCTCTCGGATCGAACGTCGAAGAGGGGGAAAGGGCGTTTCAGTGACGTGTGGTGCTGAAATACCCCGCACCATTCCGCCGACAGATTCGATCTACATGGATCTAGATCTCTTCGATATATCTACGGTAGTGCAGCATCCACGTCCTGGCTTTCTGCGGTGCTGCTGATCTGCCCATTCACGTTAGACGCCTATTGAACAGAACATGCATGTAGAGGGCCTAGGCATGTTCCGCATGCAGCCGAGACTCCATGACCAAAGGCAGGAACAAACGTCAACATATCTCTACGCCCCACCTCACGTCATTTTTTTTTTCATATCCTGTCGCGGCCTCACTGCAAAATCCAGATCTCAGCAACTGCAGACCTTCCGGAAGAGTTGCTCAATACCTATGACCCAACGAAGCCATCTCTAAGACGAGAGCCTTCGGTACATCAGCAATATTTCCACGATTTCCCGAGCGGCACACAGCGATATCTCCCCTGTGGGTAATAGGCTCAATCGACAAGATAGTTTGGTAGCCATCTTGTGCATCTCTCTGTATGCTGTGCTGGGAAGGTGTAGACGGAAGGTGTTGGGTAGTTGGTTCGTCGGGTGTGCTGGTGATGGCACCCTGAAGAACAAAAAAAAAACGCGCCCACACGGTAAAACGTAAAACATCACCACGTGCTATTGTACTCCCTGTTTTACGCGCGTTGGATGTACATACATGTTGCTTTATCTTTTTCGAGAAAAAGGTGAACCTCCCTTTGGGTTGTAGGGGTTGGCTTGAGAACACGGGAGGAATCCGCGTCAGTTGGACCAGTACTGACAGCACAAGGTACTTGGCGGAGACCGGAACGAATCTTTTTTTTTTGTTGATCGCATAACAACGACGTGTTTCGGCGTTTCCTGCCTGTTTAAATAGAACTTGATTCTCCGAGCTGCCATGGTGACTGAGCTCAAAACAACCCGTTCAACCCTTGCGGTTTCCATTCCTCAGGAATATTGCTGTCCCCCCATCTACAATCTACTCGAGAATATAATACCATGGCTGACGCAAAGGTGAGAAAGGGTACGGAGTCCGAGCGTAGTGGTGTGTTGGGGCAAAAAACTTCCTGCCGTTAAGGAAAAAGAACACCACACCCCGATTATTGTTCATGTTGTGAGCAGGTTGCATTCTGTAGGCTTTGCTATCTTTTGTACTGTCCCCGGATAATTTTCATCCGCGGTTTCGTTGTGATCCGTTGCTTTCTGTGTGCTTTGGAGAATCGGCCCTGCGCACGCTCACATGCTCTCTGATCACATACGATTTTTTTGTTCGTGCTTTTTCTTGGCGGGATCGGTCGTGGCGGTATGCATGGGCGCGCCCGCAGGTAGCTGCTCTTCAGGCGTGCAAGGCCGAGGTAATGGACCTTTGCGCGGCTCACCACTGCAACCCCATCCTGGTCCGCCTGGCATGGCACGACGCTGGTAACAACTTGTACCTAGATTAGGATGCATGTTGATGTCCGTTGCGGTAGCCAACAACGGTTCCGGAATGGTGCATGCGTAACCCTGACCCTCACAAGGAGAACCCTTTTGCGCACATGCAATCACGGGTGTTGAATGAGTTTCTTTGTCGCTTCAACTTCTCTGTATCGCTCCTGCTAACCCACGCATCCGACCGTTACAAGAAACATGGTAACTAGTGGGACGTTACTTGCCCCTCTCTGGACTCGCGTATCAGGCACTTTCAACAAGGACAGCGCGGAGCCGTGGCCGAGGTACGTGCACAACGCGTGGGACATAATTTTTTCGGACGACTCCAGAGTAGTGTCGCGAAATTTGATGACTCCGTGTCAATCGCGCAGGTTCTGTCCATGTGTGTGAGCTTTTAAGATCTTTGGCACTGCTGTAGCATCGACTTCGCCCACCGGCTTAATATTGAAAGACGTCAGTATGTGTGTTCATGTGCTTTGTGTTGTGTCCTCCTCGACCGCGAACAGCGCCTGACGAGTGAACAATAGGCGGCGCTGTGGGCAAACACAAAATTTGCAAGCTCGCTTGTTTTATCCTATGAATAATATGTACGCGTGAAGCTTCGTGGGCATGAACCCTGTGTGTGTGGTAAGATCGGTAAACGAGGCAAGGTTGAGAAAATCATCTGCCCCTTGGTAGGCAAGTGCAAGGCGGTATTTTTCGTCCGTGCGATTTATTTCTCGCTTTCCTAGGTCTGTCAGCTGAGTCCTCCCTATTTGTTGTCCAATCTCTCCTCTATCTTGCAGCCGTGCGTTCCATCGTTGTCCCATCCTCTCTGTCTTGCATGCTGCTTTCCAGCACTTGCCGCACCAGCGCGTTCCTTTTCTCAGCCTGATCAGACAGACACGCACGGACATGCCAATATCGCGCGCCCTCTTTCTCGTCCCGGGCCGGCGTCCCGTGTGATTCTCGCAACAATATTCGATCAGATCCACGCCCACTCTTAACCCTACAGTACATGTACGCTCTGCCTTGCGTTCGGTGGCACCGGTCGGGGAACCAAAATAGGTGCGGCGGGGCCAACGGGTCCATCCGCTTCGAGCCGGAGATCAACCACGGTGCCAACGCCGGCCTGGTAAACGCCCTCCAGCTGCTGCAGCCTATCAAGGACAAGCACCCGGAGGTTGGGTGGGCGGACCTGATCCAGCTTGCCTCCGCCGCGGCCATCGAGCAGGCTGGTGAGTTGTTTTTTTTGCGAACGGGTGTGCTGGCGGGGAGGCGGAAAGAGGTCCTTCGTTGAGTCGGGTTGCGCTAAGCCTAGCCTATTGTAGCGGGGTTGTTTTTGCCGGTAGTGAGTCGTTGGCGGCATTGGGTGATGATGACAGCGCACACAGAGTGATACCCTCGTGCGTGCGCGCCATCATCAGAGACCAGAGGGGTGGCGTGTGCGGTGATGGCGTGATGCGATAGATGCGTTGTCGACATCTACTGTCGATAAGATAACCATTTATGAGACGAATCCCGGTATCCATAGGTATAAACGCTCATAGACGGTTATAAACGCTGCCGAGCAGAGATTGTGTGTTGGTCTGATCTGTAGCCAAGCGAGTTGCGGGGCATTTGCTTTGGTATGACACGCGCAGGGTAACCGGGTAGGTCGCTATCAATAAGCGACACGTGGATACTCAACATCAACGGTGTTTGCATCTTCTTCTACGAAAGTCGTATGTACTTATGTATATGTTTGCTTTCCTGCAACTGCTGAACCGCTTTTATTTCTCGTACAAGCACCGTGGAGATGTGGGCCCTGTCTGTGCATTACTTGTACAGGATATGGGGCACTTAGCGCGTTGGGTATTTTCTTGCCACGACTTCAGCATGGCATGCACGTAATTTTTTTCATGTGTAACATACCACGACCTATGCAGGTGGCCCCGTGATCGACATGAAGTACGGCCGGAAGGACGCCACGACGCCGCAGTGCTGCGTGGACGAAGGTGCCCTCCCCGCGGGAAACGCGCCCTTCCCCGACGCCGACACCCCTCAGGTTTGGATACAGAGTTCCCCGACGTATTTTGCAGGCTAATGCATTGCAAGTAAAGGAAGGTCCTCAGGGAGAGGAAACCTTGTGTGTGACCACGGGTTGAAGGCCTTACCCGGCAGAACTGCTGTAAGCCCTGAATTGACGTGATGCAAAAAAATACTCCTAATGTAGTAACGTGCTGCTGAAACAAAAGAGGAAGCGATGGGTGATAATAACGTCGCATGAGTTGGCATGTTGCTGTCCTCAACGCGTCGCCCTCAAGGCTTCCAGTTGATCTCTCTGGCCGGCGGGACGATCCGAACAGCGTGGTCATGCTAGACGGAGAACTGTCTAAATTCTTCGACATTGAGCAGGGGGTCCCACAAGGTAGCACGCTGTCCTCAACGTTGTTCCAGGTGTTCATCAACGATCTGTTGGAAGTCGTAGAGGAGTCCGGAAGGGAGTAAAAGTAGGGGACACGGAAACGTCGGTTTCAGGAATGCTGTTTGCGTATGATTTTGTGGGTATGTCGGACACCCTGAGGGACTGCAACTGCAAATTGATTGACGCGGCGAAGAAGTTTACTGATTAGTGGAGATTGTCTGCCAACGTTAAGAAGAGTGCCGTCATGGTATGCAACGAGAACAAGGAGGAACCAGTAGAACATAGATGGAAGTGGGGGATCAAGGAGATTGCAGTAGTGGACCAGTACACATACCT